ATTGCCGACAACGTTTGAGATCAATAGCGTTTGAGATCAACACCGTAATTGCCGACAACGTTTGAGATCAACACCGTAATCATTCATTAATACACCCCTGCTATCTCTTCCTGTAAATCGAACCAGCCGAAAACCAAGTCTTACACACACACATACACCGGAAACAAGTAAAACGCATCTAAAAAGAGCAAAGAGAAGTGAAAACTTCCAGGCACGACATGAAATTTCAACTAAACAGATGATATTTCTAAGAATTTTGACAAAAATTTCATCCGAGGATTATAGAGAAATAAGAGAATAATGTGCTTTGAGTTCTGACCTAGAATACAATGCGAAGAACAGAATGAAAGTTGAGTCAATTTCGAGATCTTGGATTTGATGGAATTGCCGACAACATTTGAGATCAATAGCAGTAATGGGATGCGCCACCGGAATCTCGTCGTCGCCGTCCTCCGCTTCCTCCGAGTCGATGTGTTGCAAATTGTTTTTGTTATTTTTGTTGTTTTAAGCCATGTAAGCAATGCCACATAATCCTAATTTTTGTTATTTTAATGCCATGTAAGCAATGCCACCTAATCCTAACCGGGCCAAGTCATCGCAAAATCAGAGGTAACCTGCAAAAAAAGGTTAATTGAACAATTTTTAGATGTAAATGCGTCCAATTACATTATATTTGAGATGATGGAGGGAATTGAGCACTTTGAAGTAATAGATGGGGCTATTTGACCCTTCTGCCTAATAATAATCATAGAAGGATTAAAAGATTATATTTACTGCTTTATTTTATTTTCTTCTCTTTATATATTGTTTTCTTTATATCATTTTAATTTACGTTTATTATGCTTTTATGTTATTTAAGATCATTGTTATATGGAAAATATTGGGTGCAATTCAATTATCAATATAGTTCTTTCAACATTATCATTTGTTATATTTGTTATGTTTCTCTATGCGCTCTATCTCTATTTATCTATTAAGATTAAGAGGCAATTATTTAATATAACTAGTATTTGTCATGTGCGATGCACGAAAAATATGTTATAAAAATATACCCTATATGAGGTTTATTCATATATAAAATTTTTGTTATTTAATAATTATCACCCGCGCGATGCACGGGGAAAAATTTATTGTTATTATAAATATAAATAAAAAAATAGAAAAAATAAAAATATTTTAAATTGTTTAATATAATAATATTTTGGAGCTTCCATTGGTCAACTATTTATTATTTTTATAGAATACAAAATTACAATTAAAATTAAAATTTTGTATGGTTAATATAATCTCTAATTATGTACATATATATTCAAATAAACTTATAGAGAGAATTTACATAATTAAATTGATTTATTCTTAATTGTATTTCATCTATATTATAATTTTCACAATACGAATAATAACTAAGATAATTACATTTATAAAGTAAATTTCAAATTTTGTATGAGTAAATTTAAACTCTAATTGAACACATTTTTTTATATGATTATATAATATATTCTTTATGCACATGTCATTCCGTAAACCCAAATGTCACTCTATAAGTCCAAGACCACTTTTTGTGGAGATAATTTAAATGTATTTTTTTTTCTTTTAAAAGTCCTAAGTTTAGAAACCCAGAAAAACATTAAAGACCCCTACGATATATACATTTATATATATTTAAATTTTTATTTTTGGCTCAAATGATTTTTTTTAATTATGAAGTCCAATAATTGACCGACGGCCCGCAACATTTGTTTTTTTCATCCCTTCTCGCTTCTGCCATTTCTTTGAGGGAGAAAATTTATATGTAGAGGCTTACATTAATTGCACTATTTCAGATATCGAATAGGCTTTCATCGAAAATTTAATTAATATTGTAATCCCAAGAAGCACCATAAATTTAAAAAAAAAAAAAAAAAAAAACATATCAAATAAACTTTCATTGTAAAGCCAGAGATTTAATTGATATTGCATCGTTTCATATTTTCTATTAATCGGGAATCGGAATCCTTAATCCTAATATCATAACATTTAATAACTCCATTAATTCAATAAATGAAATCCTTTGTTATGAGCGAGAAAAAAATAGCTATTTTATTTTTAAAATGTTGGGCTTTTTTTTAATTTTATTTTTTTATAGTAAAGGATGTTGTGGCTATTTTATATTTATAGCTAGTAATACTAATAATGTTGGTAATTAATTGTAACATTAATCTTAACTATATGGTTTGAGAAGTAATATTAATTGTAACATTAATTACTTTCCAAACCATATAGCTTTATTATAGTTTAGATACCATCTAATTAATAATTCAAATTCCACTCGATCATTCGTTATTTTTGTTATGTATGTTTTTATTTTTTGGGCGACATCGTCTCTTTACTTGTTTTTTTTTTTTTTTTTTTTTTTTTTTTTTGAATGCTAGGTCCATACCTACATTGAATAAGAGGCCAACAAAATGTAAAATCGAAAGGACATAATTAATTAAAAAAATGGTTTTTAATAATTTTCTATAAATCTTAAATTTTCAATTATTTTAAAAGAAACAAACTCACCATAACTGTTGTCATTTAAGAGTGAACTTGAAATTTAAATTGTATTAATTTTTTATTATAAGGAAGGGGAATACCCTACATATATACATTACTTGCCTCAAGTGAGGTTTGAACCTATCACCTCTTACTTAGAGGAGCAACCATAAAATTAGTCCTAAACCAGTTTGGTTGGCATGAGTGCAATGTGTGGACCATAAATAAAAAGTACATTTTTAATATACTAAAGGTACATTATTTGTATACAGTATACTAAAAGTACATTATTTGAGGGTACATTATTTTAGTACTAAAAGTATATTATTTTATATATACTATTAAATAATTTACATTCAGTACACAAATATTGTACCTTTAATATATTAAAAATACCCTATATTCATGGTCCATACAAGTTGTGTGGACCATGGTCCATACAAGTTGTGTGGACCATGGTCCATACAATAATTTGCCACGTGAGTGGCCGTGCACTCTTGTCCCTTAAGAGATTAGAGGTCGGGAGTTCGAACCCTTCTCGTATGAAAACACCAATCTGGCCTGCACTTTGCCACTTAATTGGGCCGGCCCGATGCGCACAGGGATTAGTCTGAGTATGATACTATGGGCTTAAAGGTGTCTCCTATAGTTAGGGCCTGCTCAGGACACCTCGTTCTCCGACAAAAAATAAAAAATAAAATTAGTCCTACACTTTGAATTACAAGCAAAAAAAAAAAAAATCGTTATAAATACACCATTTATTCGACATTACCATAACACTTAATCTCAAAACTATTAGGACTAATTGTAATTAATTTTTTTTATAATAATGCTGCGTAATTGTATTATGAAATTAGAATTTCAAAGCTCAGATATATTTTTTATTTTTTGAAATCTATGTTGGAAAAAAGTGCATGATCAAATCTATCCTCTTTGCTAACTATAATGGTAGAAGAGTTTGTTGGGAAATATAGCTTAAAATGGCATAAGATGGCATGTTAAGTGGCTATTTTGTGGTACAATTATCAGTGGGGTCCACTTCTGATTCAGGTCGGGTCAAAGTGGATTCGGGTTCTTCGTAGTGAAACGAAGAGATTGATATATTGCACGCTCAAAACGGAGGCAAATCAAATCTCAAAATGAGATCGAAAAGGCTTGGCTCAAGCCTGATATCGTGTGCGCGAGCACGAATGTCGTCTGGACCGTCAGTTCATCTGATTACAGAATTAATGCTCAAGTTAGTGGTGCTGTTACATGGGTGTTTTAATGTCATTTTTTAATGCTATTGAATTCCATCACCCCTATATAAGAGAGGGTAGAGCAGCAGATTTTAACGACACAGAAAATATTATTTTCCAGCCTCAAAACTCTCTGCTTCTACTCTCTTCTTAGCCTAATTGTGTTCATCCCGTTGCTCTAGTTCACCGGATTCCTTGTTTGAGTGCTCAGACATTGAATCGTAGCAAGTTTTATCCTAGAAGCCTAGACTATAACACTCCTAGCACTTGTGAGAGGTAGCAAATAAGATTTTAAGGAAAGAGTGATCGCTTGACTCTTGCTAAAAACCCTACATCAAACACGAGCCAAATTCTCCATCTTAACCCTACATCAAACACGAGCCAAATTCTCCATCTTTCCTTCCCTTTCTTTACAGAAAATAGTAATCTTATTTCATAGGATTATTATTTGGTTCTCACCAACGGAATCCCAACAGAGTTCTCATTTAAACTCCCCCAAGATCGATTTTTAAAGGAAATGTTGCTAAAGTCTAGTCTCAGAATATTTTGTAGTAGAAGAGAGTGTTGAATTAGAAGACAGTGTGATTAAGAGAAGTTATTTATATTTCAAGAGTTGTCTTGGTAAAAGACAGTAAGATATTTTACTTGGTTTATATTAGAAAAAAAAAAAAAAAAAAAAAAAAAAAAAAAAAAAAAAAAAACATTGATAGTAAAATTCGAACTTAGATATGTTGGTGTACGTGTTCCAACGCCCGTTCCAACATACTAGCAAAAACAATAATGAAGGAAATAGAAATGAACAAAGTACCAAAAACAAGATGGCAGAAAATAAAAAAATAATATCTCACTTCGGAAAGTTCCTACTTTACAAAGCAAACACTCGAAGGTATTGTTTGGAAGATAACAACCTATTATTGTAAACTATAAAACGATGGAATTGAATTCTCTAGTAAAAGAAGGCAACAAACCAAGAAAATCAAGGTTATGAAATATTAAATTCATCAATTGATTTACTCATCAAAAGTCAAAGAAGAAATGAATATATAGTTGGTACTTTGGTATGTAATTGATGATGTTCTCACTACATGGCTAGAGACCACAAAAATGTTTAAGATATTAGAAGTTGTGATGGTGGTTATGTGACTTTTGGAGATGGTGCAAAGAAATAGACAATCCGAACTGGGGATATAAATGCTAAAGGATTGGAAAAATTGAATAGATCGAGTATTTTTGGTGGGGCCAGATGGGATGAACCCGGATTTTTATCAGAATTTTTGGGATAGTGTGGGGGGTGATATCTCGGCTTTTATTGTAAAATGTCTGAATACAGGCTCGTTGCCACCTGGTCTAAATAATACCGATGTCGTATTAATTCCTAAGAAAGATGTTCCTGAGCAGGTCTCTGATTTAAGACCGATTGCACTGAGTAATGTAATTTATAGGATTATGGTCAAAATGATTACTCAGAGAATGAAACCCCTAATGGATAGTATTATATCTGAGTCCCAAAGTGCATTTATACCAGGCAGGTTGATAACGGATAATATCTTGATTGCCTCAGAGGTAGGCCATTATTTGAACAGGAAACAGTGTGGAGCAGTTGGTTGGAGTGCTTTAAAGCTAGATATGGCAAAAGCCTATGATCGGATGGAATGGCCTTTTCTTAAAGGTATGATGGTGGCCCTGGGATTTAATGATAAGTGGATTATATTGATCTTATTATGATGTGTGTTACGACAGTATCCTATAATTTTTTGGTGAATGGGTCACGTAGTGATTCGCTAATACCAACTAGGGGCTTACGGCAGGGTGATCCATTATCTCCATACCTATTTATTATTTGTGCTGAAGGCCTCTCTTTGTTATTACAGCAAACACAAAGTAGGGGTTTAGTACATGGATGCAGAGTGGCAAGGGGTGCCCCACCTATCTCCCATCTTTTCTTTGCTGATGACAGCTTATTGTTTTTTAAAGCAACTGTGCAGGAGGCAAATGAAATTAAAGGTTGCCTGGCTCTATATGAAAATCTGTCTGGGCAGACTGTTAATTATCATAAGTCCAGCATATGTTTTAGTAAGAATACGACGGAGGAGGTCAAGGAAAATGTGGCACAAGTATTGGGAGTGACCCAGGCTCCTAACTATGGGAAATATCTTGGGTTGCCGTCTTTTATTGGAAGAAATAAGAAAGCAGCATTTGCTTATATTGAAGACAAGATCAGGCAGAGAATAGGGTCTTGGAACAAGAAGCTATTGTCACAGGCGGGTAAGGAGGTCTTATTGAAAAGTATGGCACAGGCGATGCCTACTTACTCAATGAGTGTTTTCTTATTACCTATTACTGTTTGTACGGCTATTGAGCGGCTGATGAATAGATATTGGTGGGGCTCAGGGACTGATCAGAGAATCCATTGGAAAGCCTGCGATAAGTTATGTATCCCAAAGAAATGCGGTGGATTGGGTTTTAAGGACCTAAGAGCTTTTAATGTGGCACTCTTGGGGAAACAAGCTTGGAGATTACTTACCAATACAGATTCTCTGGTTTCTAAAGTTTATAAGGCAAGATATTATCCGAAGCAACCTTTTACTGATGCGGTTCTCGGGAACAACCCAAGCCACTGTTGGCGGAGTATTTTGGCAGCAAAAAGATTAATTTGCAGTGGGGTAAGAAGACGAATTGGGAATGGAAATTCTACCTCGGTGTGGGGACACCCATGGTTGCAAGATGAAGACGACCCTATGATCCAGACAGAAATGCCACCCTAACTGAGTAATACCAGGGTAATCAATTTAATTGACCCAGACACAGGCACTTGGGATCGTGATTTGCTTACTGATATTTTTGAACCCAATGATGTGATTAGGATTCTAAAAATACCAGTCTCCCCAAGTTATGATGATATGTGGTATTGGCATGGGGACCCCAAGGGCAATTACGCGGTTAAACATGGATATAGGTGTATATTGGGGAATTATGATAATGTTGAGAATGTGGGATTTACGAAGTGGCTCACATTGTGGAAGCAAAAAATTCCACCCAAGTGGAAAACCTTACTATGGAGAGCTTTAAGTGATATTCTTCCTACTACCAAAAACTTGCTTATAAAGAGGGTAGAGGTTGATCCGGTGTGTGCCATGTGTGGAGTTGCAAATGAAGATATTATGCATGCATTGGTTTTGTGTGATTATACAAAGACCATTTGGGCACTATCTAACCTTCCATCTACAAATATTATGACAAATATTTTTTATGAATGGTTTAGTGCAATGTTAAATATTCTAGATTCTGATGGTATTGCCTACGCAGCTGCAATTATTTACCATTTATGGAGGGCTCGGAATGGTGCGGTTTGGGAGGCATGCTTGCCCAGATCACGACGATTGCTTGCCGCGGCCCAGGCCGATTTTTCAGCATGGCGTCATGTGCATGCACCGAGAGGGGAGCCGAGTCCCGTGTCAACCAGCGCTCCAGCGCTATCTGCTGCCCAGGAAGCCGTGAACCATACTGTCCACCATGCCACACTGAATCACGCTTCAATGCAACCAACGTCCAAGTGCTATGTCGATGCTGGATATCATCATACGGACAACACAGCAACGGTAGGAGCAGTAATAATAGGACCAGGTGGTCAGTTTATCTCGGCGTACACCGCACCCTTGCCACATTGTTTTTCCCCACTAATGGCCGAGGCATATGCTTTTAAGGATGCTCTATCTTGGCTACGCGAGCGTGGAGAGCAAAATATAGAGCTTTTTACAGATTGCCAGATACTACAAAGTTACTTAACCACACCACAGCTGCTGACACGATCATATGTTGGCTATGCAATTGATGGATGCAAGAACTATTTATCTACTTTTAATTATAGTCATGTTAATTTCATACCTAGATCGCAGAATTATTTAGCACAAAGTTTAGCTTCTACAGCTTTCCAGTATGACACAGCTATGTATTGGGATACTATCCCACCTGACGCTATTTCAGCTTATCTATGAATACAACCCATTGGTTGACCTTCAAAAAAAAAAAAAAAGTATTTTTGGTAGGGGAAATGCTACATGTATCTACTCTCATTTTGTACTCCCAACTTGTACTCTCTCACACAAAATATTGATGTACACTTGTATTGGGACCCACATAAAAAAAATAACTTATCAGAATTAGCCACATCATGGAGTAAAATTTAGAAAGTAAGATTATGGAGTACATGTAGTAGAACTCTTTTTGGTGGAAGGTCTCAAAGCTAACTGAATCAGCATAAGCCAATTATGCAATAATCATCTCAATGTTAAATTCTTTAAGGGAGTGTTTGGTTGGATGGAAAACATTTTCCATGGAAAATGTTTTCTTAAAAGTGAAGGAAAAATGATGTTTTATGTTGTTTGGTTGGATGGAAAACATTTTCCATTGGAAAAAGTTTTCCTTGAGAATGAGGAAAACAAATTCCTAGCCTATCCTAGGTATTTTGTTTTCCATGGAAAAGGCTTTCCATGGAAAACTAATATGACAATTTTAGCATCACCATTATTTATTAATTACTCTTATTATTATTATATTATAATTGTTGCATAGGGTTATATTTGTCATTATACACATTATTCCTTACCATTCCAAACTCAACCAAACACTGAAATTCATATTCCCAGTAATTTCTTTTCCACCAACCAAACAATGGAATATATTTTATTGGAATTTATTTTCCATGGAATTTCAATTCCATTTCCCTTCAAATATTTTCTAGCGAACCAAACGAGCTGTAATAATGATGAATGTATGTTTTAGCAAATTAAATCACAGTGTACTCATAGAGAAGTGGTCTTCCAAAATATTGTATATTTAGAGCCCTATTAACAACAATGATCTAGCAAGTAATATGTTTGCAAAATTTAATGTTGAATTGGAAATTCCATTATTTAATTTAATGTCTGATGAAGTGTATTTTGGGTGGATTGTCATTCTCTTAAGGATTAACGATAGCTGCAAGTTTATGTTTCTCTCAAGCACAAGGTACTAAAACCTTTATTGGAATTTGAACCCTAAGAAAGATCATTTGAGTAAGATAGAAAGTAGATCAATAGAAGTAACAACTAGATAAATAATAAAGCAAGTGAAAGAAATAACAATTAAAAAAAAAAAACAGAGTAGAATAAGTGTTTAGATTAGTCTCAAGCGATGTGACCAAACCGAGAACAAGAATAAGAGTTAAATGACTTGGCATCATATGCCACTAAAGAAGAGGAAGTCTTTCTCGATGTCATTCCACATTCTTATGACTCATGAGTGTCTAAAAGGCAATTCATCAAACAACCTATGTTCTTGACATTCCACATAACTAAAAAAATTCTCATTTGCAATGGAACGAATTTCATTGCAAAATTGCAATGGAATTGTATTCCATATCATTGTAACACGGAAAAAAAAAAAAAAATCCAATGCAATTTTGGCGCAAGTGGAAATTTTGGCTCAAAAATATGGAGGAAAATATTTTTGCAACAGAAATTGCAATGGAAACCTACCTTCATTGCAATTTTTGCAACAAAATGTGCAACGACCTTCAATTCTGTTGCAACATTTTATAATTATTTAAAAATTATGAGTTTTGCAACGGTATTTGCAACAACACACAATATCATTTCAAAAATAAACATGCAACGAAATACGTTGCAACAGAATACATTTTCCATGCAATTTTTTAAAAAATTAATTATTTTGCAATGATATTTGCAATGGGATATAAGTTCATTGCAAAAATCGCATTGTAACGAAAAAATTGCAAGGGAAAATTTTAAGAGAATGAATTTCCATTGCAATTAGTTTTTAATTAGTTAATTTGGAATGATATTTGCAACGGAATAAAAGAAACAACAACTAAAGAACCAATAACTGAAAAATTCAAAGATGAAAATAGGAATATCCAAACACTTTTAGAGGAAAACGCGATGTTACTGCTATTAAGTCAAGCACACTTAATCATAGTGTTCTTTGGCTATTAATATCCTACTTAAAACCCATTGGTAATAAATGGATATTAACCATTTAACTACATCTCTCCACGGTAAGTCACAGCATCACATCTCAAATCATATCGAGGTGTTAAACTCGGCCAACCTTGCCGACACCCAACTGTATATGACACAATATTTTCCCCATTCAGCCTGTTTGAGAAAATATAATTAAGAACAATGAGCAACTCACTAAATTCTCTGAACTCTTCAAAAAACTCCAAATCAATCTTCCTTTCGTTGAAGCTTTTTCACAACGACCTATGTATGCTAAATCTTTTAAGGATAAGTTGACGGGAATAGATACCAGTCGTTATATCGTGGACCGCGGTGCACGTGCACCGCGATCAAAACGGCATTGTTTCTTTAAGTAAAGAAACAGCGTGTCGTTACTGTTAACGGAGCGCGCATTTTTTGTTGTGTTAATTACCAACTGAAACTACAGTGTATCTAAACTGACACTACAGTGTATCTAACGACACTGCCTCACGTATTATTTTATATATTATCAAATGAAACTGCAGTTATACCAAAATGATACAGTAGTTGTGGTGAAATGAAACTGCAGTGTATATAAAATGAAATTGAATAACATTTCACATATTTGAGTGTATATTGTGCAATGAAGTTGTAGTTATATCAAAATGATCATATAATTGTGTTTTAATGAAACTATAGTGTATATAAAATAAAATTAATTAAATAACATTTTCACATATTTGAGTGTATAAATATTGAATGAAACTGTAGTTATATCGAAATGAAACTGTAGTTGTGTTGAACTGAAACTGCAGTGTATACAAAATGAAACTGAATAACAAATTTACTTTTTGCGAAACAGTCCGAAACGGGCGCCGTTTCTTTTCATTAAACAAAACGACGTCGTTTTGAAGCTCGATGCATAATCAATTATGCACCGCGGTGCACGATATAATTTGCCAATAGATACATAGATGAGCTATTTTCAGTGACTTTGAATGAAGATTAATATGTAATTTTACTAAAAAAGAATCTAAAGAAAATGAAAAATCTAGAGAGTTTCTCTTTACCTTATCTTATGGGTAATTTGCATGTGCAAAGGCCGGGCTTTGGGTTGATTTGGGTGATAGTAACCATGTATTGCCTAATTTCATATTTTGCAAGCTTGTGATGCAGAAACTTAACTAGCTCATATGAATACACAGTTACCTGATAGACAGGGCCGGATTTTGGGCTTTACAAAAGGCTCAACAACATAAGGTCTCAATTTTTATAGGGCTCATCAATATTTATTTTTGACCTAGCAACTTAAGAAATAATAATAAAAAAATCTATAAGTAATAACTTGAAATATGTAGCATTATATTCACCACCAATACTGCCTGAGAAATTGATTCTTCCCCCTAATAGATCGTTCTACTTGCGTTCTAAACGATAGTGGCAGCCCAGCAGGTAGCAACTTATAACCAGATAGTTTCAAGATTTATTTTTTTAAAAAAAATTCTATTAGTTTGGACTTTGGACTCTAGAGATAGTAGATTATGAAGAGGTGATGAAGGAATTTGGGTCAAATAATGCTGGAAGGACATCTCTTTTAAATAAAAGATCTCTAGTTTGCATTAGAGTGAATTCCATTTTTGGTCCTATTGTTATAGGGGCGTTTCCAATTTTAGTCCACTTTAATTTTTTTTGCCACTTTACAACCACTGTTATTGAATGTGTTCCACTTTTAGTCCACCATTAATATTGCCGTCAAGAGGTCGTATAATTCAAGGGTATTTTGGTCTTTTTATGATTGTCTCTTCTCTTTTAATCCAGGCGCTTCGTCCTCCCCCTCCGATATTCGAAGATGGCTCTTCGAACAATGAGAATGGGAAGCCAAAGCTACATCTTTTCGTTCGTTCCAACGTGGGGCGGCGAGGTTTCTTAGGTTTTAGGTTTAATGTTCTCATTTCTTTTAGTCAAACATAGTCTTGGATGAGAAGAAAGATCAAAATACCCCTAGATTACACGGCCTCTTGATGAAAATATTAACGGTGGACTAAAAGTGGAACACATTCAATAATAGTGGTCATAAAGTGGCAAAAAAAATTAAGGTGGACTAAAATTGGAAACACCCATATAACAATAGGACCAAAAATGGAATTCACTCTTTGCATTATGTTAGAATTTTATTTATAATAAACAAAGCTGTTTGAATATTTCTTCTTTATATTGGAAAATAATCTATCTACTATATATATATATATATATATATATATATATATATATATATATATATATATATATATATATAAGAGCCCAAGAGAGTTAGGCCTATAATGGGTAGAAAAAATGGCGGTCAAATTTTTTAATCAAATGAATGACTTAGATTCATCCGATTTTAATTTTTCCTTAAGATTTCTTAATTTATCCTTAATGAATATGATTATCGGTTAACTTTTTCGTCAAATATTATATTTTCCGTTAATTTATGTTAGTTCACTGTTAACTTACTCATTGATTTCAATAAGAAAGGTCTTAGGTTCGAACCCCATCCCAATCAAAGTTGACATAATTATTACTCTATTTTACTCTTATTAAATTAAATAATAATTTAGTAGCTACAACAAAAAATAATACATATGCATTTCTTTAATTTAGAATTATGTGTCTACTATGTTTTTTTTCAAAAAAATTATTCATTATCAATAAATTAAATAAGAGAAATAATTTCATTAGTTATATTGTATTTATTTTTCTCCAATATAAAAATTATTTACATTCAAATTCATCAATTGATTATATTCGCTACATTGTCCGTACAATGTCTTTATTAAAAAAAAGTATTCATTATCAATAAATTAATTAAGAGAAATAATTTTATTAGTTATATTGTCTTTATATTTCTCCAATGTTAAAATTCTTTACATTCAAATTCAACAATTGATTATATTCACTACATTGTCTATCATCTTTTTTGTGCACTATTTTTTAATTAAATATCAAAGTTATAATACAAAATAATGCTATATATTTATTTACCAAGTATTTTATTAATACCATGAAAAAATTAAAAAAAATATAATTAATAAAGCCAATCATATTAACTACTTGAGGGATTTGTTGACAAAGAGAGTATTCAAATCACACAACAAATTGAATTGATAACTACCTCGCAATGTCCTTGTTTGACAATCAGCAGTTAGCGGTTAGCGTTAGCGGATTATATTAGCGAATTTGACCAGCGAATTATATCAACGGTTCGTAAAAAGATATTTGAAAAAAATTAGCTGTTTAGATTAACATGTAAAATGACCTAAGGGTTTACAATAAAAAAAATTATAATAATAATAATAATAATAATAATAATAATAATAATAATAATAATAATAGTTTTTAAAATATAAAAAAATATATAATTAAGCCAATCATATTAACTATTTGGAGATTTATTGACAAAAAGAGTATTTAAATCACGCAACAAATTGAAGTGGGAACTATCTCGCAATGTCCTTGTTTGGCAATCAGCAGTTAGCTCTTCAATATTAGTATATATTTAATATTTTATGTTCTAATTTTCATTTGCTCTCCCTTACGTCCCGTATTTGGTTTCAACCATACCTATACAATTATTTTATGGACAATTATAATCAATCTTGACTATATTATCTTGAATTTGTAAACTTAGAATTGCCTATTTAAATACGCAAATTTAACATTCAATTATCTATGCATGAACAATTCTAATATAATATTGCCTTGATATACTTTAAAGTACTTATTAAAAATAAATTTTTAAAAAAAAAAAAAAAAAACATTGGGCATTATCCCAATCGCGCAATGCGCGTAAAAAACTAGTATATAAATAAAAATCATATATTTTACGATATTGATTTTAAAGATTGCGTTTATACTTTTGGTAGGGTCTCATTTATTTATAAGAACGAAAGCACAAAAAATCTAAAAACCGGCCACTACAGATCGGTTAAGTATCTTAATTAGAAGGATTGTTATAAGTAAAGTCGTTCAAAAATATATTTGACGAGCTTTAGAAAAAGGTTTTGAAAATTTTGAGCTCACACAATATTTTTCCATAATCAAACCTTTACAAATATTTCCTAATCATTGGTAAAAACTACAAAGGAAGAAGAAGTACACAAACGATAATGAATTAGGGTTACTGGGTTAGTCTACACACCTAAACAAATTTATTTGTTACATTCTTTGTAAACATAAAAAAGAAAAACAAAATAGATTGTCTATGTGCTGACAAGAAATAATTAGCTCGTGGGATAGATTAAACAAAGAAAACAATAACTAATACATCCCGTGTTTCACTCTTGCAAAATTCTGAAAACTAAGCCTCTATAATGGCCCGTTTGGTTCACGGAATAGGCCGGGAATGGCATAGCATTCCCAGTAATAGGCATATTCCTTTGTTTGGTTACCATTTCTATTACCAGGAATAATATTCCTGGTAATAACCTATTACCTCAAATAAGGTAATAGCTATTACTAGGGTCCCCCCTGGTATTAGCCTATTACTGAACGCTCAGGAATAGATTTTAGAATCTATTTCCTTTTTTACCCCTTTCTTTAACCTAATTTTTTTTATCCTATATATAAATTTATCCTATTTCACCACCGTCGTCGCCACCACCACCATTACCGCCATCGCCGCCACCACCACCACCATCGCCACAACCGTCGCGCCCCCACCACCACCGTCGCCCCCACCACTGCCACCCCACCACCACCGCCACCACCACCATCACCACCACCGCCACCACCATCGTCGCTGCCGCCACCACCACCACCACCGTCACCACCACCATCACCATCACCACCTCAACCATTGTCGCCGCCGCCGCCACCACCACCACCGCTACCAGAACCACCACCCAGGAGCACCACCGTCACAACCGTCGCCGCCCCCACCACCACTGCCACCACAGCACCATCACCGCCGCCACCACCACCACCACCATCATCGCCACCGCCGCCACCACCACCACCATCGCCGCCCCCACCACTGCCACCGTCACCGCCACCACCACCAATACCACCCCAGCACCACCACCACCATCGCCACCACCACCACCGCCACCACCATCGCCACCACCGCCACCACTACCACCCCAGCACAACCACCACCGCCGCCACCACCACCATCACCACCACCGCCACCACCACCACCACCATCGCCACCATCACATATTCTTATAAGGGTATTTATGTCTTTTAAAACATATTTCATTTCTATTCCTTAAATCAACCAAACACTGTAATATAATTCCTAAAGTCTATTCCTTATGCGAACCAAACAATAAAATACAATTCTTATTCTATTCCTTGCCTATTCCATTCCTTATGAAATAACATTCCTATTACCTCAAAATTCATTCCGTGAACCAAACATGCTGTAAAAGAAAGAGTCAATGTGCACTAGTCGAGTTTCAACCCATATGAAAAGTGAGATATTTGTCATTATCATATAATACATTTTACAAGCTAGAAGAATAATTAAATACGTTTTAATATGAACAGATACTACAATGTAATAGAACCAGTAGCTTTCAAAAAAAAAAATACGTTTTAATTTAATTTTTTATATATATTTTTATGGCAATAATTTTTTTTAAAAAATATTATTACTAATTCTAGATCCTACATACCAATTTAAGAAAATTTTTATCCAAAAACTTATCCGCAAACATGGAATATATTTTGTATTAATTTTAATACCATAATAAAAATTACAACAGAAACAAAAATACTAACGGGATGGCAAGAACAAGAGCTATAAATACACATCTCATTCTGCATTATCAATATACTTAATCTCAACACCTTAGTCAATAAATTATATTTTCCTTAGCTTGAAAATGTCAAGCAATAATAGTACTAGGAGGGTGAGTAGGGGTCGCCAAAGAATTCCCCTACAGAGGATAGAAAATGATGTTCAACGTAATGTGTCATTCTCAAAGCGTCGCTTTGGCTTGTTCAAGAAGGCCAGCGAGATTTCAACACTTTGTGGCGTGGAGATCTTGGTAGTAGTTTTTCCACTCAATCAGGCAAAAGTTTATACATTCGGCAGTCTCAGTGTGCCTTCTGTCCTAAGAAAATACATTGCTGAAAGTGAAAACCGTACAATAGAAGCCAACGACGCCGAAGAGCTTCTCCGTTCTCAGGAGGAGGCAAACATTAGAAATATGAATCATCAAATTAATGTGCTTGAAGCACAGATCCAACATGAAATGAATGTAAATAAAGCTTTAACTGAAGCTGCAAAAGGTATGCCTTCTATTTCTAATCTCCCGTTGGCAGAGCTACTTCCCATGAAACAGAAAATGGAAATACTTCGGTCTAAAGTGCTTCAAATGCTAAACCAACCTATAATGCCGATCCAGACACAAGCCATGCCAACCATGACTACTACTCAATCTGATAATGATGTTCATCCAAGTGGTGCAACTCCATTTTAAGAAGCCAGTAAGAATTGAAGACCAAATAGTGCCCGATCAGATCGGTTCTTAATAATGAGAAGGATTAAAAGTTATATTTACTGCTTTATTTTATTTTCTTCTCTTTATATGTTTCTTTATATCATTTTAATTTATATGCTTTATGTTATTTAGTTATTTGTGATCATTGTTATATGGAAAATATTGGGTGCAATTCAATTATCAATATAATTTCTTTCAACATTATCATTTGTTATTTTTCTCTATGCCCTCTATCTCCATTTATCTATTAAGAGGCAATTATTAATATACCATCTAATTAATTAATAATTCCATTCCACTTTTTTTTTTTTTTTTTTGAGAACCTAAGAAACGATTTTATTAATTAAAAGAGTCAAGCTCCGAAACAGACACAAGAGCAGGAAACGGGACAAGAGAGTCCACACAGCCAGACTTGGACAAAGCCTCCCGGGCAAGGAAATGGGTGACCTTGTTTGCGGACCGTTTGCCAGACATAAAGCTAAGATTAATAAAATCACTAGCTACTTTCCTAACATCATTAATGATAAGATCGAAAAAGATGTAAGCAAAGAGTTTGTGTTGATTCCAGTGATAACCTTCAAAGCATTTGATTCCACCTCAACATAGCCATTTTAATGCTTCCTTCACTCCCATTGCTTCGGCCTCATCTGGCTTGAACAACCCAAACCAAGGTACCTCCCTGGATGCAATAAAAGCTCCATCTGAATCCCCTAGCACAAGACCAAAGCCCATCTTCCTGTTAGCATCATCTAGCGCAGCATCCACATTCAATTTTTTCCAACCAATAGGAGGTCTTAAGTCTTAACCAGTGCACCTCACGAAGTACACCAGTTATTGACTGGTTTCTAGTATTGTTCACTGTCTGCCATTCATTTTCCACATTCTGGTCCAGTAAGGAATTTCTTGGATCTGCAATGAATTCTGCAATAGCCTGTAGCAACTCTTAACAGAGTAGTCTCCACCCTCCTCTTTCATCCAAAGCGGTCTATCAGGAAGTTTGTTTTCAGCAATAGGAATCCTTCTGATAAGATTTATATCATCCTGGACAAACAGATCTTCCAGCACTTCCACATCCCAGCCAGTCTTGTCCTCATTGAGTAAGTTCGATCTCCACCTTTGCTTCTCTATGATAATCTACCATTCCACTTTATCATTTGTCATTTTTGTTATGTTTTTTTTTTTTTTTTTTTTTTGTATTGAGCAACATCCCTTTACTTGTAATTTTTTTAAATGCTAGGTTATACCTACATTGAATAAGAGGCCAATACAATGTACAATCGAAAGAATATACTTAATAAAAATTGGTCTTTCCATAAATCTGAAATTTTCTATTATTATATTAAATAAAAGAAACAAACTCACGAAAATGTTATCATTTAAGAGTGAGCTATAAACTTGAAATTTAAATTGTATTAATTTAAATACAATAAAATTACCAGGACTATGTTGTCTAATGATATCCGAGTTGAACTTCCATTTGGAAGGTTGTGAGTTCGAGCCTCAGTGGAGGCGCTATTGGTTTTTTGTGTTTCAGTAGGTTGAGAAAGTATATGAACAGGTTTTTTGTGTTTCAGTAGGTTGAGAAAGTATATGAACAGATACTACAATGTAATAGAGCTAGTAGCATTCAAAAAAAAAAAAAAATACAATAAAATTAGTCCTACACTTCGAAAAACAATAATTGAATAACAATGAAACAAAATTTCTTCATAAATACAACATTAATTCAACATTATCATAAGACTTAATCCCAATGGTTTTGACAAAGATGAAGGGTTTTGACGAAGATGAAGGAAGTCACAGAGGCTTTCTTGGGCCAGACAGTCAAGAACTCCGTGATTACTGTCCCTGTTTATTTCAATGATTCCTAGAGGCAGGCTACTAAGGACGCAGGGGCAATTGCAGGGATGAAGGCAGGCTAGGACAACACCACCATTCCCACCAAGGAAGAGCAAATTTTCTCCACTTATTCAGACAATCAGCCAATAACCAAAGATAACAATCTGCTGGGCAAGTTTGAATTGTAGGGCATTCCACCAGCTCCAAGAGGGGTTCCACAGATCAATGTCTGCTTGGATATCGATGGAAATAGACCCATCAGACAAGCAGAAAATCGAGAAGGCGGTGGACGAGGCAACTGAGTGGCTAGACAAAACCGGTTGGCTGCTGCTGGTGGTAATGGCACTGCTGAGTCTGCTGGCCAGTGGCCAAAAATTGAGGAAGTTGATTAAGGAATATAATCCCTGAAAATACCTCTTCTTTGAATGTTTGTCACCATTTTTGTCAATACTTGTGTGGATTTGAGAATAAGCGGAGCCCTAAGCCAAGTACAATGTAACATTTCTATACTCTTTGTTTAGCAGTATGAATTTTGTTTTCTTACTTCCAACAAAAAAAAAGAGTAGTAAAAAGCGAATCACCAACTAAATAAAACCAAAAAATCAATCATACTGTTTGGCAGAGCTTATTTAGGAGCCGGTAGTTTATTTTAACCTACTAATTATTATAAGCCCTGTTTGGTAATGTTCCAAAAATAAGTCACTAACTTACTTTTTTTTCATCTTTATCCTTATTACTAGTATTTTTTTTTATGCGTGATACGCAAAAAATAGGTGCCCAATATTAATACATTATATTAAAATTTTAGATATTTAAATTATTTTAAATAATAATAATAATAATAATAATGTAAATCATTTTATAAATTTGATAGTTATATTTTATGTAATAATTAACATATAATTCAAATATATAATGTTTATATATTATTATTAATGAAGAAGATAAGAAAATATATGGTGGATGCATGTGCATGGTAATAATAGTGGAAAAGATAACGGAAGTTATAACGATAAGGGTATGTTTGTCCAAAATATTTTAATGTACAACCTTTATAGCATAATGTACAAAAAAACTTAACGGAAAAAATTGACATAAATCAGGGGTATAACTTTCATTTACACTTATTATGTTTTTAGATTTTAAATTAATGACAACCTTTACCCCTCCCAATTAAAACCCTTTTGACATTTTCTTTTCTCATGTGCTTCAATCATGCACATTCTTCTCTTGAAGTTTTATTGAGAGGTCGTTTAGAGTATTGAAGAAGAGATGGAAGATACTTGCTAAAATGCCACACTTTAGTGTGGACCCAAATTGATTTTATTATGGCTACATTTGCACTACATAATTATATTCGGAAGAATTCGCAAGAGGACATAATGTTTAATGTGCTTGAACAACATCGAGATTACATACCGCTTGATGAACTTCAAGATTCAAGTAATAATATCTCCATCAATGAAAATTTAAGAGAGACCTCTATTGGGATGAAGGAGATTCTCAACAATATTACTACTTTATTATGAGATGCAAGATCATGATTATTCCTAATAGTAATATGTAAACAAACTATTCACAAATAGTGTATGTTATTTTTCACATTTATTTTGATTTTCACATATAAATATATATAATCGCGATTTGGTTTTGATTTTGAACCGTCAGTTCACGGTTTCGGATCCAATTTGAACGGTTGATTCAAACTTTCTTGTAAAATTTTATTTTTTATTATTAAAATATTTTAAATTCAATAATTAATGTATTTTATTTTTTCAATTCAGAACATGAACGAGCAATTTCGGTTCGCGATTTTAATAAACTCTAAATATCGTGTTCCGGTTCTAAATTATCATCATAACCTTTCTATTTAGTTGCTATAGTGTTGTTCGATTTGAACCAAATCGTGGTTATAATTTGTTGGAGAAGAAAAATAAATGAAAATATGTCCATTTAACAAGGGGGGAAAACTACCACTTAAATAATTAGGAGGAAAAAATGCTATAAGTATATAACACAGGCGGGATAGCGTCATTTTCCCTATATTTTTATTTCTAAGAGAGTGGGTATTACAATCTCCCAAACCTTAAAATAAGTTTCGTCCTCGAAACTTACATACCTTCAAACTTGAAGAGTTCAGGATATCTATCATTCATATCATCTTCATTTTCCCATGTTGCTTCTATTGGAGTATGATGTGACCATTGCACTTTAACAAATGGGAATACTCGGGATCTCATTACTTGTTCTTTTTCGATCAATGATGCAAAGAGGTATTTCTTCATAAGTTAAGTCATCTCTAATTTGCAAAGGTTGATACTCTGCCACATGACTCGGATCTGCAATGTACCTTTGTAGCTTTGATACATGGAATACATTATGAACCCCAACTGGTTGTAGTGGTAGTGCTAGCTCATAAGCGAAATTACCAACTCTACTTAGAATCTCAAATAGTCCAATGTAACGTGGACTTAATTTCCCTTTATCTCCAAATCTCATTATTTCTCGAGTTGGTGAAACCTTTAAATACACAGAATCTCCAACTTTGAATTCCAATTCCCTTCTTTTCAAGTCAGTCTAGCTCTTTTGTCTATCTTGAGAAGTAAGTGGTAAGAACTTTAATTGTCAATCATGGGATCAATGGTTTAAATTTTATTTCAAACAATTTATAAAAATTTTATATAAAAATAAATTTAAAAATTCTCAACCTAACCCGGGACCAATCCAGAATATCCTACTGCAATCCTGATCCGTGCTAACCTAGGCTCAGGCCCAACACAAGACCAGCAGCAAATTATGCCATGGACCCGTGTCCACAATGAATTGTGGACACGGGCCCAAAACGACGTCGTTTTTCAAAAAAAAAAAAAAAAAAAAAAACGCGTCATTTAGTTTTTTTTAAAAAAAAAAAAACGTGTGCGTTTTGCCGTTAACGGTGTTATTTTTTTTTTGGATTATGAATGTACAGTTATGCCGTTATGAATGTACAGTTATGCCATTATGAATGTACAGTTATGCAATTAGGAAATTATGAACACAGAGCTCTAACATTATGAACTTACAATTATGAACATATATAGTAATAAAATTATGACCATGGAGCTTTAAAATTGTGAATATAGAGCTTCGAAGATTATGAATGTACAGTTATGGAGTTATGAATGTACAGTTATAGTGTTATGAATCTACAGTTATGGAGTTATGAATCTACAGTTATGAGATTATGAATCTACAATATGGAATTATGAATGTACAGTTATTGATCGAATTATGAACAAAGAGCTCTAACATTATGAATTTACAATTATGAACATATAGTGATAAAATTATGAACATAGAGCTCTAAAATTGTGAACATAGAGCTTCGAAAATTATGAACGTACAGTTATGGAGTTATGAATGTACAGTTATGGAGTTATGAATGTACAGTTATAGAGTTATGAACGTACAGTTATGAAGTTATGAATGTACAGTTATTAACATATAGTAATAAAATTATGAACATATACTCCTATAACGAAGCGGTCTGAAATTAAAAAAAAAAAAAAAAAAAAAAAAAAAAAAAAAAAAAAAAAAAAAAGAGAGATAATAGTGCCAGTTACCCGTGTTCAGCAAGCATGCTGGACACGAGTCCAACGCATAACGATTGAAGACCAACAACAAATTATATCATACACCGCGGTGCATAATTGATTATGAAGACCAACCCCACACCGACATCACTTTTAAATATTTTGCAGTATTTTAGTAATGAGGTTTTTAGATTGACACGTGTGGGGCAAAATTAATCGACCAATCGAACAGAATCCTAAACAACAATCAATTCCTTGTCCCTACCACCACCTACGACACGTATGTAACCACCAAACAAACGCGGTAAGCTGTTCCCGTCCTCTGACATTTTCCTCTCGTCCAGACTCCCCATCGCTTACTGCACCCGCAATTCACCCACCCAGACGCCGAGCAGTTCTTGGTTCTTCAGATTCGCCGTAACTAAACTGGTACGTAATTTCCGATTTTCTTTCAACCCCGGCCCCGAACCCGAACCCGATTTTGTTTGCGATTTTTGTTGACTCATTGTGGTTACTATTGGTTTGATTTGTAGTCGAATTCTCTTGGATGCTCCATTTATCCTATGTTTTGCTCTTAGATTTTGCTTGAAATTTTCGTTCTAGACAATGTAGCCAAAATTTAGTATGTAATTTATAATTGCCTTGAGGTTTTAGGGAAATTGGGATGTGATGATCAATGTTAATTTGTGGAAATCTAATTCACCAATTGCCAGAAGCGGAAAATAAGAGGGAAATTGGGATGTGATGATCAATGTATAATGCTTAGAATGAATTTCGTTTTCATATATTTAAATTGCTCATATTAAATGATTGTTCAAGAGTTTTCTGTTAATCTACTTTTTTCATAATGTGCATAGTTTATTTATATGTATATATTTTTTTCCCATAGTGTATTTAGGAATCTTTTACTGGTTGGCAATGGGATCTGGGAATGGCATTGTGAGTGCAAACTTTAAGCATCCGCTTCTTTCATTTGGAGTTATATCAGATGTCCAGTACGCTGATATTCCCGATGGTCGTTCATTCCGTGGTGTTCCAAGGTATTATCGACATAGCTTTCTCGTGTTGCAGAGAGCTGTGCAGAAATGGAACCAGCAAAAGCATAACTTTGTGCTGAATTTTGGAGACATTGTGGATGGATTTTGCCCGAGAAACCAGTCTCTGACTGCTGTGAAGAAACTTGTTGATGAATTCGATAGGTTCGAGGGCCCAGTGTATCATATGATTGGGAATCATTGCCTTTACAATCTTCCCCGTGACGAATTGCTTCCCCTGTTAAGGGTTCCTGGTTATGGTGGCTATGCTTATTATGATTTCTCTCCGATTCCAGAATTTAGATTCGTAATTCTTGATTGTTATGATATAAGTGCCATTGGTTGGCCTAAGGATCACCCGAATACATTGAAGGCCTTAAAATTACTTGGCGAGAAAAATCCCAATCTGGATAAGAACAGTCCAGATGGGCTGGCGGGATTGGAGAGAAGGTTTCTGATGTTCAATGGAGCAGTTGGGAACGAACAATTGGAATGGCTTGATCGCGTTCTTCAGGAGGCCACGAAGGCGAACCAAAAGGTAATAATTTGCTGCCACCTGCCTTTAGATCCCGGTGCATCATCCAACGAAGCGTTATTATGGAATTACAATGAAGTCATGGATGTGATATATAGATATAATTGTGTCAAGGTCTGTCTAGCCGGACATGACCACAAAGGCGGTCACTCCATTGATTCCCACGGAATTCATCATCGGGTCCTCGAAGCAGCCCTCGAGTGCCCTCCTGGGACAGATGCCTTTGGATATATCGATATTTTTGATGATAAGTTATCTCTTTTTGGAACTGATAGAATGAAGACTACCGATATGATCTTCTCTCCCTGAGCTAGTATATATATATATACACCTTCTGAAAATTCAGTTTCTGGAGTTTACCATCTAGTCTTGGTTGAGAGGAAGAGAGAGAGAGAAAGAGAGAGTAACATTTAGAGGGATTCCCATGCCATTGAATCCTTCTTATACTCCAGATGCAATTGCTCTTCTGGATACATTAACTCGCATGTTATCTTGTCTTTTTTTACTGTCCTGTTCTTCAACCCAACATCATAAATTCATAATATATACTATTTCTTTTTATTATACTCATATCCTTAATTGCTTCGCCACCTTGATTTTTTGTAAAATCTGAATGACGACTGTTGTTGAGTATACACTTGGCCCAGCAAAAACTTGTGTAAGACCTTCACATAGATCTTTGTCCGTGAGATGGATTGGATCAAAATAAAAATGTACTCGTAACACTTAGGCCCTGTTTGGTAAATGACTGTTTGCTGCTAGCTGATTGTGTTAATTAAAACTAGTTGATAACATTAGCTGTTGTAGAAAAGTGTTTGGTAAATTAGTTGTTAGCGGATAGCTTTTCTGAAAAAACTAATTGAAACAGTTGGTTGGGGCAGCTTTTTGAATTTTAACATTTTGGAGTTGCAAAAAGCTAATTAACCAAACACTTATATTGATATTTTAACTAAATCAAACAATTAATAGTGGTCAAATAAGCCAAAATTGCAATAGTTATGCCGTGCAACCGAATGTACCATGCGCATGGTGCATACGACGCAAAACGACGTCGTTTTGACTAAAAACGCGCGTCCCACTTAAAAAAAAAAAATTCAGGTTCGATTCTCGGCAATAGCATTATTGTGGATATATAGTTATGAATTTCTGGATATATAGTTATAAATTTGTGGATATATAGTTATGAATTTATGGATATTTAGTTCATTCATTGTGGATATTTAGTTCATTCATTGTAGATATTTACTTCGTTCATTCACTGTGGATATATAGTTATGAATTTATAGATATATAGTTATGAATTTCTGGATATATAGTTATGAATTTATGGATATTTAGTTCATTCATTGTGGATATTTAGTTCAATCATTGTGGATATTTAGTTCATTTATTGTGGATATTTAGTTTATTCATTGTGGATTTTTACTTCATTCATTCACTGTGGATATATAGTTATGAATTTCTGGATATATAGTTATGAATTTCTGGATATATAAAAATGCTATTGCCGGGAATCTAACCTGATTTCTTCTTTAAGTGAGACGCGCGTTTTTTTTTTAACCAAAACGGCGCCGTTTTGCAACCGTATGCACCTTGCAAGGTGCATTCGGTTGCACAGCATAATTTGCGCCAAAATTGGCCTATAGGCCAATTTTTTACCAAATAGGGCCTTAATATTAGAATGAAGTATTCCTTAAAGGAAAAGTGTAATATTCTGAAGAAAAATGTAATATTATACATTTTGATTTAAAAGAATTACATTTTTCTTCAAAAGTATTACATTTTATTCTTGATTAATATTAGGGAAAATGACACTTTTTCCCCCTGAGTTATATACTTATAGTACTTTTTCCCCCCGAATTATTTAAGTGACTCTTTTTCCCCCTGAAATGTTAAATGGACATATTTACCCTTAAAATAAATATTTAAAATAAATAATTCATTTATTTTTCTTCTCCAACAAATTATTACTATAATTTGGTTCAAACCAAACAGATACTATAGCAACCAAACCAAAATATTCCAATTACAATTTATAATAAAAACGCGATATTTAGAGTTTATTAAAATTGCGAACCGGAATGGCCGGTTCATGTTCCGAACTGAAAAAATAAAATATATTTATTGTTGAATTTAGATTATTTTAAAATAAAAAATAAAATTTTAAAATTAAGACGGTTCAAAATCGCGAATCGGATCCGGAACCGCCGGTTCATGGTTCATGATCCAGTTTTTTTTTTTTTTTTTTTTTTTTTTTTTTTAATTCTTAAATTTAATAAATTGAAATCCAAATATTGGGTTCTAGATCTGAATCATAACCGAAAACTTTTAATTCGATTGCTATAGTGTCTGGTTCAGTTCGAACCGAACCGTGGTAATCGCTACATATACGCAATAATTAGTTGGAGAAGTAAAATAAATAAAATGTTTACTTTAAGGGTAGAAATGTCATTTTAATATATTAGGGGGGATAACCACCACTTTTAAAATAATTGAGGGGCTAATGTGCTTACATAAATAATTGAGGGGGGAAAAGTGCTATAAATATATAACTTAGAGGGGAAAAGTGCCATTTTCCCTTAATATTATATTTTTTAGTATAAATATTACATTGATTCAACCCGTCTTATTAATCATTATTGAGACAATCTCACAAAAGGGTCACTCTTTTGACTTAGTTTTGATGATCGGCGTGCAGCCATGTTGATGGAAAACTCAACTAATCAAGGGGCAGGGAATTTTATTTATATTTTTTAATTTAGTAACAGTTGACCACCAGCGATCCAACTAAACGACGACAGGTTTGTTTATACTAACATGGCAGCTAAACCAACAGCGTCAATTTGAAAGGAAATAGTGCAAAATAAAAGACATTTATAAATAGCTAAGCAATATAAACCACGAGTATAATAAAGTTTTTTTTAAAAAGTACAATAAGTGCATGATAACCATGTTAATTGAAATATTAGTATCAATGTGAAAGTGCACATTGTGCAATTGAAAGTGCATACAATATAGACATTGATATTAAAAAAAAAAATAAAAAAAAATAAAAAAAATAAAAAAAAAGCATCTTAACCACATTAATTGAGATATTAAGTCTAATTTTAAAAATGATAATGCATAAATGTAAAAGTGCACCATATGATTGATAAAAGTCAACAATGCCCTAACAACACTAAAATGATGGATTTATAAAGTTAGTAGTGCCTAAATAGAACTTTTTGTTCAAATAGAATGGATGTTCATGAATTTTTCTCATTTGTTACCCTAATAACCATTCTCATATGATTAGCAATATGGACTAATCCAAAACCACATTTAAATTATGTATATGCAATTAACATATTATGTACTTTTAGTTAATAGATTATGTACCTATTATAATTAATGTATTATGTACATGTGATTAATATATTATGTATCTTTAATTAATAAATTATGTACCTATTACAATTTACAATTAAGAGCATGACAACCGACGATTTTTTTAGAGTTTTTTGTAGGGTCAAGGTTAAGGTGAAGAAAAAGAGAAGAGAGGGAAAGGTGAGGTGTGCCTCCAAATTAGAGTTTTTTGTGGTGTCCACTAGGAAAACGAAACACAAAAACATTGCTTTTTGATGCGCGTTGTGTGCACCAGATGGCCCAGTCGAGCGTGTTAACCTTTTAAATATCGTAAAATATGTAATTAGAATCTCAGTATCTCACAATTTCACATGAGTGACAATGTAATATTTATACTGAAAAAATGTTAATCTCACAATGTAATACTTATACTGAAAAGTGTAAAATATAATACTAATCAAAGAATAAAGTGATTGTTACTTATAAAGAAAAATGTAATACATCTCGGTACTACATTTTCCAATATAAGTATTATAAGTAATTTATTCTTGACTGGTACTACATTTTCCAATATAAATATTACATTTTCATCTGGACCGAATCCATCTTGGTTTCACACAAATTTTTTACATTTCACATTTATACTCTTTTACTTCATGAATAAGTCCTATATGAGATCATCTCATATTAAACGTGTAATATTTTTTAATTAAAATTTAATACATCATACATCTCACAGTAAAACGTTCTCACACACACGACTTATTCTTACTATAACAGCGGGATTGGAACGGCAATAATTGCAATGCTCCGTCAACCAAGTCGATCAGCTAATTGGCAATTGAATAATAGATTTTTTAGAGGCAAATGAGATAATAACGTAACAATTCTTTTAAACTAATGCCCGACAACAATTTTTGAACTAATAATATCATATTATAGATGCTTAAGTACACCAACTGTATTTGTAAAGCTGGTCTGCGTGTATCGATGAGGGCATCACGGACATGAAAATCAACGCTGAGAGTTGAATTTTTTAATTTTGGTTTAAGGCATACGTAAGTTACAGCACTTACGGTAAATCTAGTACTTTAATTGCTTTTTGTCTTCGAGTAGGTTACCCGTTGAATTATTATGGTGCGTAATTTTTTTTTTTTAGGACAACCAATAAAACTGGTAGCTATTATTTAAATATATATGTACCGAGTAAACTCTGCTCTTATATATATATATATATATATATATATATATATAAACATTGTGTATGAAATAAATTTTTGAGTAGGAATTAATGGCAATTAAGAAAAATATGTTTATTTGGAGCATAGACACGTTAATTAATTTGCTTGGTATGTAAGACATAAGCAAGAGGGTGATTTGTTCAATACACATTATATGATATTAATAAGCCAGACAGAAGAAATTCAAAAGAAATATATATTGACTAAGCAATCCCCAGCCCACACATAGCAGTTCTGTCCGCCTCAATGGTTCAATAGATAGTATTTAAGAGAAGAAGGACATAGCGGTCCTTATTACTTCTGTTGTGCACTCTTGGCCTTTCTCTTCTCCAAGAAGAAGAAGCCAAAGAGCGAAACAACGGAGAAGACAGAGAAGACAACGGAGCAGATGTCAAGCGTGGCATGGCGGCCGGTGATGGCCTCGACTTGGAAAAGGTTCTGCGTCTTCTTGGCGTCGGTGTTTTGGCCGTAGCCGACCTCGTGATCGTCGGCGTTGTAGGCGTAAACCCTGACGAAGAAAGTGGCGGTGGGCACATCCCTCTCTATCGTCCATTTGAGGGTGTTGGGTTTGGGGTTGTAGGGCTTGGTGGCGATGGTGAATTGGCAGCTCTTGTCCTTCTTCAGATGATCTTCCGTCTTTCTCCACGCGCGGTCCACTTGGCTCACCGGCGCGTAGCACAGCTTCACCTTCACGTTCTTGTAGCTTGAGTCCGTCTTAGCCGGGCTACTGCTGTTGTATGACCATGTTATTGTGATTTCGTCATCCCCAGCCTTCAGAACTACATGATATGCAATAATATTATCATTTTTAGTGAAACCGTCTCATACAACTTTGTCCATCAGACTGATCGTATCAAAATTAAGATGTATACTTATGAAAAATATAATAGTTATATTGTATGTAAAATTCTTCTCAGATCGATTTAGGGATGATAATTTGTCCCGTCCAAAATGTGAATACCCGTCTCCGATATATATATATATATATATATATATATATATATATATATATATATATATATATAGGGAAGGGTTCAGGGACGGGAATGGCTTCCCGTGCGGTTGGACGCAACTTAAGCATTAAAATGAAGCACATTAAGTATTAACTTCGCGCATCTTAGTTTATAACACTGACACACCTTAAGCATACGAATCACGCACCTTAAGCACACAACGTAACACACGCACCGTAAGCGCAAAACTCACACACCTTAAATTTCACAGAACTACTCACATTAAGCACCAACTTCACGCACCTTAAGCACAAACCACACACACATTAAACACAAAACTCAAGCATATTAAGCCCAAACCCAAGCACCTTAAATTTATCTAGATACAAAAATTACCAAATTGTCACCGTATTATTTTAAAAAATTTTTGGTAATCTTAGACGTTGATTTAAGCAAGATCAATGGCTTAGATTTAACCGCACAACCGCACCCGAACCTAATTATATATATATATATATATATATATATATATATATATATATATATATATATATATATATATATATATATATATATATATATATATAAAGACTTAGGTTTTTAGTTTTTAAAATTAAAAATTAATCTAATTTAATATTTTGACTAAGAGTTGACTGAGGACGAGGATGAAGACTATTTTAAGTTCCTTATCAGGGATTGGAACAGGAACGGGGTCGGGGTTTTAGAGAAGGGGACGGGGAGTATACTCCCCGCCCGCCTTGTTGCCATCCCTAGAGCAATCAAGCAATATAATAATTTGAATAAAATATTCTAAACCTGCCGGCTGGTAAGGTTGATATATATATATAAATATAAAATTAACAAAGGCAATTTTTTTTGTTAAGTAACAAAATTTTTGGAAAATAAAAACAATAACTAAAAGCCAATAAAACATCAATGCTTAGTTCAAAGGGGCAATATAATAATTTTTATACTATTCTCTTTGGAGAGTAGAGTAATATACTTATGGAATGTTAATTTATTCCAAGTGATTGTCATATTTCAATCTAAAATTATTATTTAAAATTTAAAAAATAGACGAAAAGAAGTAAAATTAGACGATTCATTAAAAAGTCTTAAATAATTAATTAATGTTAATTAGCTGTCATTGAAAATTTCAACTTAATTAGATCATCAACAAAAAAGTTCATAAGGTCTGTGCATGTGTGAGTACAGTGTATATATCTATGTATATGTATGCATATTTGATGAATATATTTGAGAATATAATATATTCATTTAGTGCATGATCAGATCTATGGATTTTCTTCATAACAATTCCTGTTTTCAAGAGATGAATTATATTGAAGTTTCATATAATTACCTTGTCCTTGTTTATGCTTGACAGAAACCTCAAGGCTTCTCTTCAAGCTAGAAAACAAGACTTCCCCATAAGCAGTGGCTGCCAAGCAGCAAAGCAGAAGTGAATAAGTCACCAGAAAACCTCCTATTTTCGCCATTTCGATCTGCCCTTTAATTTGGTTAGATCAATCTAAGAGATCGAAATCTTAAGAGATCAGATAGATGTTTAATTTGATGGAATTAATGTTGTTGCCTTTGGAAAGAAGATGGCTTGCTTTATATAGACTCTAGCTAGCTAGATAACTCGATCACCTTTAATTTATTTACAACTTACAAGTGGCTATTTTTTTTTTCTTTTTAATTTTATATTAATCGTTGTAAATTTAATTTTAACATGAAAAGTCAAACACAACTGCCTAGTAGTTAAACTATTGATGATGCTTAAGAGACGTGTTAAGAGGATACTTTAAATTATTTTTGTTATTTTTTGTAGGTTTAATTAATTAATTATACTTGCTAATACATAATAATAAATAAATACTACATGCAGGAATTGAAAAATGGGGATGGACTTTGGCTCTAAATCAAATTGATGGGGTGACTTTATGAGTACTTAATAAGTGATCATCAATTAAGAACACGTATGGAGATAAGTTTAGAAAGTTGACTTTAGGCAAATAGACTACTAAGATGTACGGATTGTATGATTGTCATCTTATCATGATCCCCTAGCAGTTTGGAAAGAGCAAATTAAAGCAATGAATAAGTTGCCTCAGCTCCTCCAAACATATTGATTTTGGTATTGTTATATGAGAGGAATTCAATCTGTGTGTGCCATATTTTTTTATACAATAAAATAATGTACATTCAGTACAAAAAATAATGTACATTTAGTATATTAAAAATATACTTTTTGTTATGATCCACATAACACTGTGTGGACCAATAATTTGTCAATTTGATCGATATGGGCCGTTTAACAAGTTCATCATATCACATAATTAAGATGCGTATATGCCCAATAAACAAGGTCCACCGCAATCCAAGTGGAACGTTATGCTGTGAGCACGTGTCCACCTTGCAAGGTGGACACAGTTCTATATCTATAAGGGAAAATAGCACTATTGGTCTCTCAAGTGTTCCTAGATATGCAATGTAGTCCCTCATTTTCTAAATTGATCCCTCAAATGTTTCAATTGTAGCCAATGTAGCCCTCCGGTCAGATTTGTCACTAACTAGTGTTAAAACCATGGACAATTTAGTAATTTTACAACACTAAGTTTTACCCCCAATTTCCTTTTTCCTCTCTCATTGGCTTTTTAGATTTGTCACTCACACCTGAATCCATAGTGATGGCAACGCCGCCGTGGTCGCCGACTGACGGCGGTCCGGCAGCCGGTCGGCCGTCGGAATCTACAAATTCTGAAAATGTTCCAGAAATGAATATAATGGTGCAAAGGCAACAGAGGAAGTCCAGATTTCTCCAACAACACTGGGAATGAGAATAGCGAAAATGTTCAAAATCAAGTGTGATCTGTCACAGAAAACATATCAATTTACAAAAGAGGCACAGACAAAGGTAAATATCAATTTACATTATGGAATTAATGAATTGAAGTAGGGGAAGCCAGTATTAAAATTAGAGAGACGGATAGGAAGAGATTAGCAGCAGACCCATACACGCCTCTTGCCAAAAAATCATCACGGGAAGTGATAAACATGGAATGCGAACGCCGGAAATGGACTTGAGAATCGCTGGAATACATAAAACACCATGCGACCTTTCACCCCCGCATCTTTGATTCCAGAGAAAGACTTTTTTTTTTTTTTTTTTTGTAAAGTGGGTATAATGAATGATAATAATAGTGTCGATTTTCCCTTGTTTGCCATAGACGTTTTCCCTCTCCGGTCGCGCTGGTTTCTCTTTTTCTATGGCGTTGTTGAATCCAGTGAGGAGCTTGGGCACTGCAATGAGAGATTGACGATGGCATCGCGATTTGGAGAAGATGGTGGCGACGAGACTAGGCTCCCAGCGACATCCGGCTGTGGCGCTAGTTTTTTTGTAGCACTGGTGCAAAGACGGATTAGGATCAGAAAATTGGGTGTGAAAGCTAGGGCTACGTAAAATGAATTTGGGGGTAAATGGCGTGGGAGGAGAATGGGTGTAACTAAGGGTATTGTCAAATTACCAAAATGTCTATAGTATTAACTCTAATTTGAGACAAATTTGACCGGAGGGCTATATTGGCTACAATTGAAACATTTGAGGGACCAATTTAGCAAAATTGACAATGAGAGACTACATTGCATATATGGGAACAATTGAGGGACCAAAAATGCGATTTTCCCTATCTATAATTTCTATACTGTAGATTCATAATTTATATAGTGTAGATTCATAAAATTTATACTTTAGATTCATAATTTCTAAACCGTAGATTCATAATTTAAATACAGTAGATTCATAATTTCTATACAGTAGATTCATAATTTCTATACTGCAGATTCATAATATCTGTACTGTAGATTCATAATTTCTGTACTGTAAATTCATAATTTCTAAAGTGTATAGTTATCAAATTATGAACATATAGTTCTCTGATTTGTGAAAACAGAGTTCAACAATTGAAATCTAAAGTAGTATAAATTTTATGAATCTACAGTATAAAAATTATGGATCTACACTATAAAAATTATGAATCTACAATATTGAAATTATAGATATGGAACCGTGCCCACCTCACAGCATAATTTGCGAATCCAAATGTATGCAAAATTGCAAGTTCAGCTCAATTATATTGGCTAAGAGCTGAGTGTTGTGCGCGCGCGCGTATGAGAGGATGGTAGTGTTGAAGCAGTTAAACCAATGGCTTAGAGTAAGTCATTAGAGCAGATCATGGTTTATCATGCACATTGTGAATTTTATCCAGATTATATACCTAAGGACTATGATAGGGGATCAATATAATTGCGTAGGCTAACTACATACTTTATAAATATTGGTTCACGGCATTAGGGGAGACACAAATACAAATTTAATGAAATGCTGAGAAGTTTCATAGAATAGAAAGATATTCATTATTTAAATCCACATACTAGTTAGACTGAACTGGAAGTTTAAAAGATAATCTACTTGCGACATTAGCAAATAATCTGCCAAACATATCTATTGATTATGCTGATCAGAAAAAGAGTGACTATGTCCTATATATATTTCCCAAATTTGACCATATATATCTATCGGCGCTCCTTGACACCAGAAGTTAGGAAACCTATCGGTGTAAAGGATATGAATCCGCAACAACTAGATCTAGTTAAGAATTTTGTCACTCGTGAAATCTCTTAAAGAATTGTCCTGAAGATGTTCGTCCTGAAGACAAAAAATTAAATCTCAGTAAACTTATAAGTATACCAACTAATAATCATAATACAGGGAATGTCAAATGACCATATTTAAAAATCTTTGGACAACTAGAATCTAGTAGACTTAGATATTGCCAGAAACATTTATGAATATGGGAGAAATTTATGATAAAAATATTATAGTTGTCGACAACACAAATACCTATATAATAGCTCATATTATAATTTGGATCCAAAGGTAGGAACCATATGCGCCCTCATTGTTTAATATCTAAAGGAGCAATTAAGGCATAGCTCAACTCGGTAACATAAATCTATTCTCTTTATAACACGTACACCATTGAATGTTAACCCTGAAGGTTACAAATGGGTGTTTGTACGAAAAAGAAATATTGATAATGTGGTGGTGTAATATATAAACGAGACTAGTAGCTCAAGAGTTTACCCCTGGGTATCCTGTCTCACTCCAGCATAGATTTTTGAAGTTCTTCAGCCCTGTTCCGAACAACTTTATCTGGAGACCGGCGTAAAAGAGTCTCTGTTAAGACGACTCTAAAAAGGGATTTTTCATTAGTATTATCTAACAGAGGCCCATAATTGATTTTGATCAAATATACTCTCGCACAATGGATGACATTAAGTTCCGCTACATAATATCATTGACAGAATAATAAATTTAGATAAGTAGTTAATGAACGTCATGATCGCATAATTATGGGTCTTTAGACGCTAATGTTTATTTTAGAAAATCCATGATGGATTTATAATCTCAGAATGAGAAAAAGAATGAAAATCGCCACATGTATTTTGTTATGTTACAAAGGTTTTACTTGACTTTGAGTGATTTCATCCTAAACTAAGAATATGTAAATATAGATATGTGTCTTTATGTGCTCAGAAATGAGTTGCTAATGGAGTTATTTATTTAGTATCTCAGTATGTGTTGATGTTATGAACATTATTTTGAAATACATAAAGAGTTTGATGATATTAGCTCATGCCTAAAGACGGAGTTTTGAAATGAAAGACTTGGAAAATCCAAGTATTATCTCGACCCGAAGATCGAGCGTCTACTTGAAGAAGTTCTACACACTAGTTAGCTTACATTGAGAAACGTCTTGAAGATATTTTAGAAGGATATATAAGTAGCATTTGTTTATCACATTAATGGTTTCCAGTCTCTAGAAGCAGATAATGAATCATTAAGACTCGAAGAGGATAATGAGGATATTTTGGGGCCAAAAGTCCATTACTTCATTGTGTTGGAGCACCAATTTATGACCAAAAGTTTCATAACCGCATCAGACCTGATATTGTATCTGCGATGAAATTAGTAGAAACATCCAGTGCCCCTCATACAATGAAATATTAGATTAGTATTTAACGCGTCCTCAAATTTCTTCGAGTTACAAAAGATTTTAGTGTTTTATGCGAGAAACCAATATGTGGTTTTAATGGGCTACTTGGGTTGGCTATTTTATTTGATCTCAATGATGTCAAGTCCCAACTGGTTATGTTTTGTTTTACTCCAACTATTCCGTATTAGGACAATAAAGCTTGTGTTGCACAAATGATAAATAATGGGTATGTTTAAGAATAATATATATTTAATTCTTTGAGTATCAATTACACAAGAATTACATCTAAAGATTAAGTGAAGAAGTCCAATTTTTAACAAATAACTGTCATATTATTTTTTGATTTGAAATTTATAATTGGAGATTTAGATTGATTACATGATGTTTTAATATAATTTTAAAAATAAAATTATACTTTGTCTTTGAGTTATAGGATAAGAGTGAATTTACTCCCCATATGATCAAAGTTATGTAAGTTTCAAGCATTAACTTCAATTGAGAATTTGAGTAGAGAGGCCAGCTCTAGTGGG